GTTTAGGGTTTAGAGTCCATGTACCCAATAATTAGGGATATTGTGGGATATTGGTAGTAGTAATTATAGTATAGGTTTTGGTTAAGTCTATGATTATTAGGTACTTGGACCCTTAGGGCACCTGCATGCGCAGGTCCCGGATCAGTACGCCTGCGATGCTTTCAGCAGTCCACATACCTACGAGGCAAGCCTGCTCCAAGAGGACTTGTCGTCCACCATGGGTATGTCTGCAGCCATGGCACGCGCAACGGACTTGACCCACAGGCTCCTTGAGGCGCATGCCTCTCGCACTGACAAATTGAGGAGCGCACATGCTTATCAAGAGGGTCCCAATACCCAATAATTAGGTACTTGTGCTGTGTTAATAGTAATTACAGTACAGGTTTTCGGTATTAAGTATATGATCATTACGTACTTGGTGCCGTACGGTTAGGGAGCTAGAGTAGTTATGTTGAAGCTTTAGAACCTTGAAGATATGGAGAAAGCTGAGGTTGCAAATGCCTCCATGGATGCACTGGTGGAGCAAATCCAAAAGGCATGGAAGCCGATTTGTCACAAGCTTGGTTGTGACCACGACAACTTCTGGGACATCCATTTCATGTCACACCTGCAGACCATGGTTCTCTCGGAGACCGACGCTGCCAAGACGTTGCGCGGCGAGGTTCGCAAGCGCCTTCGGCTGGAGCGTCGAGTCAAGAGCTTCATGGTCGAGCATCCTGTTGGTGGTTAGTAAGCAGTAGGGGACTGTAAGGACTATACATCTATATCGCCTATCTAGCATCTTCCCTTATACCTTACTAACCCTCAGTAAGGCATGCTCAGCGCTTTGCCTCAATGCTGCAAAGCCAAACGTATTCGCGTGCTGGCCGATTCTTCGACTACAATCAGAAGTCCAAGTCTGGGGTGGAGACCTGGAAGCGCTACGGGCAGAAAGGAAAGGATGCCATGATGGAGTTCGTGATGCCCTACACCACAGGTCTTGCTCAGCTCAATGAGACCCGGGCCACCCTTCTCTTCGACCAGGCGGGCAAGCATCCTCTAAAGCAGCCCTAAAGAATCGGCAGGCTTAGCGCCCTGAGGACGATCTCATAAATACAATGGTTCACATTTTTGCTAGAGATCAGAGTGGCAGATTGGCTGGTTGGTAATGTCAAGTCGGTCAAGATGAAGTGAGTGATCATCATGATACAGGCAGCCCTCCATGTTGGCACCCCCTCATAACATCCAAACCTTTCCTGCCAATAAATCTCACCTAGGATTGCAAAATCATCCCAGGCAGTCAAGGCTCTCATGTAAGCCGCACTAACTTGCCTAAAGGCCCTACGGAATCTTGCAGGCCGGGTTGCTGTTAAGGAATTTGAGTTAAGTTGCTATAATCAGGAAACCCAATTCTTGACTATATAGCCATGTTATGGCAACCTAAACCCCAAACCCTATAATTATGCGCACATTATGGGAGCTTAGTTTAAGTTCCTAGACAGCAACCAAGCAGGTGGAGTACCGGAAGTTCCAAGAAGAAGAGGACCAGATTGAAGGTTGGTAGGTAATACGGGAAAATAATATATTCCCTTACTCGTTGCTAAACTCTAAACCCTTAACCCTCAACTCCGAACCCTAACCCTAAACCCTTAACCCTCAGTTCTGAACCCTAAACCCTAACCACCACACCCCAAACCCTACACTCCAAACCCCAACACACCCTAAAGCCCAGCGAGGACCAGATTGAAAGAGCTCGCTGGAAGCGTGGGGATCCTGAGGCGTATACACAGTTTGCCCTGAAGGTTCTAGGCTTGGGTTCTATTCAGGGTTTTACTGAGCTAATGGAAAAGAAAATGGAAACTACGGGGACTACAGGGGATTTAGGGGTTATATAGGGATTGTAGGGTTTATATTGGGGTTATGTTGGGATAATGGAAAAGAAAATGGAAACAGTTATATTAAGGTAATATAAGGGTCAAGGGTTCGGGGTTTGGGTTCAGAGTTCAGGTTAAAGGGTTAAGGGTTTAGGGTTTCGGATTAAAGGTTGAGGCTTTAGGGTTCAGGGTTTAGGTTTCAGAGTTCAGGGTTCAGGGGTTCAGGTTTTAGGGTTCAGGCTTTAGGGTTTAGGGGCCAGGGTTTAGGGAGGTCAAGGGGTTATGGGGACTATGGACCTGCCTATTAGGGGTTCTATCTACATCCGGGCCTGTAAATTTGGTTCATTTGGGGAACAGTACTTTAGGCCAAGTCCTACATGGAATTTATTGGTAGGTTTTTGGGTTCTACATATTACAGTTTCATACAGGGCTCAGGAACAGTAACCCCGTATGTAGGTAACTTGACAACCAGGATCGTATGACTTCCACGTTTCGGTGCTTTTCAATGATTCTGATGTGTCACCAACGGTTTAGCTCCCTCTTTTTTTGTTGTGTGTGCGTGTTTTGCTCGGTGCATAGTCCCCCTTAAGTAGGTAGAATATGGGGTATATGGCGGTATATGGGGATCTTCTCAGAATATACCCAAAACCAAATTCTATCTACTTAAGGGGCACTATACCCTATATCCTAAACCCTACATAGTAGTTTCCATTCTCTTTTGTAGTATCCCAATATAACCCCCATGGTATACCCAAAACCATATTATATCTACTTAAATAAAAAAACATTGCGAAGATAGTATGTGGAACCTACTCTTGGGTACTTGACCCCTAGGGCCTTAAACCAGGTAATGGCTGATTGTTATTGATATGGCCAGGCCGCGCCAGTGGCTGAAGCTTTGCAGTTGGCTCGAGAGAAGCTCTGCCTGAATCATGCAAGGCTTAAAAGACGTTTCATGGGTACTACTCAGGGTTCCGGGTTTGCGGCTTTCGTGTGGTTGTGCGTTTTTTGTTGAAGGTGGCCTCCATGGGCTGTGTGTACCGCGGCTCTGGAGTCTATATTGTGTTGAAAGGCTTGCCCCTAGGGCCTGGGGGTTTCAGGAGGTGCAAGGACCCTGAGCCTTAAACCCTTCACCTGCGTTGAGGCTTTCGGGATAGGGTCACACGAATTGTTTCTTGCGCTTCGGGCTCGTTCTACCGCTCTCAAAGCACCTCACCCGTCTCGATCTAGAACAGAGCGCGTGCCTACGGTGTTAGTGCTACAACTTGGACAATCAGGCGGACTTAGTAAGACCCCGATAAGCCAGGTAGTAACTCCAGCTCTCCCCGTTATCCCGTTATGAACCTAAGTAGTAGGTCTTCCCGCCCCTGAAGAGTACTGTAGTCCCCTAAACCCTGATGACGCTACCCACGGCAGTATGGTTGCCCTGGCTACTTGCAGAGCTGCCAGTACTGCTCTGCCACAGGGTTTAGGCTTTAAGGGTTATCATGGGTCTTAAAAAGGTTTTTGGGGCCGTTGTTAGAGATTATATAGGGTTCGACATTGATTCTAAGGGGGCTACAGGGGTTTCAGTGCAACCTGGAGTCCGTGCTTCGTTCTTCTTGTGGAATAGAAGCTCATCAGTGTGACGCCAGGTCGTCCATGGAGAAACACGGAGACACCTTGGAGGAGGGCGAGGACCTCATTACCGACGTGGATGACGAGGAGGCTAACAAAAGCAATATTACCAGAATAAGACTTCGCAAGGGTTGGTCTAAAAATGTGTTTTTGATTTTTTGTTTATCACTTTTTATCCTTGAAAAGACAGAAAAGCTCTGATTTTGTAGGCCTGCAAAGAGTTCCAAAGCCCTCGAGTAGCCAGGGGTCCGTTTGTGCTGAAACAGCCAGCCAGGTAGCCAGGGGTGGAAAAGGCTTCTTCAAGAAGGTTAAGAAAGCGGTCAAGAAAGCTGCCAAAAAAGTGGTGACACAGATCCAAAGCAGGAGTTTTGTTTGATTCAGTTCTAGGCAATACCGCAAGCAAACCATAGTTTGAAATTACCGCGACCTGAATTCCAGGTCCAAGGCCAAGGCGGTAGTCAAAGTGGCTAAGTTTGTGCTGACGCTTTTCGCTTGCATCGGTGATGTCTTCGAGTTTGTCACCACTGGCTATGCCAAAGATATCGTTCCAGGGAACATTGCCTTTGGGGCCGGAGTCACTGTAGGCGACATGGCCACAGGACTCGTCAATCTCATGAACGGCAAGGCGCCGGTGACCTGGATCTCCATAGACATGGGCTTCGCCGTTGGCGTGACCTACAAGGCAGCCTGGGCAGGTTTTGGGGTGGGCGTGGGTGCCAGCTGCAGCGCGGCTGGCTGCGCTGCGTACGTCAGTGTGGGCGTCCTTGGCACCGTCAACTTGCCCATGTACGCACCCAATATATTCTGCCCTTTCGGCCCAGTCATTGGTGATCCAGTCACAGGCTTCCAATGCTCTCAGGTCTTCGGTGGGTCTATCTCCGCTTTCTGCTGCAACTTCAACATGCTTACAGGCAAGAATGATTGCAGGTAATATGTTAGGAGAAGCCCCCCGCCCTATATAATGCTTATTATTCCTTATAATTATAGTCACTATTACTGGGTGGGGGTTCCGTCTAACAAGGAAGTTTCTGCGCCTCCGGTATATTGAACCAGTTGTCGGCAGTGAAGTGCAGCAGTGGGCATGTGCAAAAGCGTGCATGAAGTTGCAAAATTGAGGGGGGGTCATGGGCCTAGAGGGTCCAAGGAGCCCGAGAATGGAGATTTAGGTCCCAAACGCTTTAATCTGAGTGGTGTGTTGGTACCTAAAACCTCAATTTTGGGGTACTTGGAACCTTGCAGAGGGCTTGGACCCTTCCATGTTTCTTTGCTCAGGCCCTCAACCCTGGAGCCCAAAACCCTAAACCCTAGAACCCTTTCATGTTTCTTCGCTCAGGCCCGGGGCTGGTCCAGGTCCTTTGACCTTGGTGACAGCCGACGCCACGACGGTGTCAAGGCACAGAGAAACGAGCCCAATAGCCCTCAACGAACAAGCCTTCAATGGTTTAGGGGCTTAGGGCTTAGGGGGGTTTAGGGCTTACCGCTAAGGGTGGAGCCCAGTACGTAACCCTTGACGAATAAGCCCTAGAGGGTTTAGTTGAGGGTTCAGGGTTTGGGAATTTAGGGTTTAGGCTCTATAGGGGTGTGGAGCCCAGTAGCTAATATCCCTGAACTAATCCCCTCCCCCCAAGTTCAAAATACTAAATATTCCTTATGTATCGTAGTCTGCCACAGTAGGGATACTTAACATATAAGGGGGTGTGGGCGTCAAATGTTAAGGGAAGGGGATTAAGCCCCATGGGAGCCAGGAGTTTCAAAGAGGATTTATGTCGGCCATTGCAGGTGCCTGCCTAAACCCCAAAACCTAACCCTAAACCCTATAACCCACAAATCCTAAATCCTGAACCTTAAACACTAAACCCTAGCATTGTGAAAAGTATAGGTTTTGCCTGTTAAGATGCTCAGAGCTTCACGGGAAGCCTGCGCATGCCTAGGGTCTAGGATGTAGAGTTTAGGGTTTAGGGTCAGGGTCTAGGGTTTAGGGTTTAGGATGGGGGGGCACTTGGAGGTTCTTAGTAGGTATTCATAACTGGTTCCTTTAAAGGGGTTATCAGGATGCATAGGGTTTTGGGTTCATGGGACTTGGGGTTCGTAGCCCGATTATAAGTAGGTACTACGGCACCATTTAAGGCTTGTAGTCAGCAAGCGGAGGTAGCCATTTGTGGGGTGTAGCTCGTCCAAAATAGTCAAGGTTGAATATGTCCAAGGACTATGGACTATGAATAGCCAGTCCAAAAAGATGATGCAAATGCCGTTGCATCAAAACAGGACCCAGGTGAAGGCCGGGAGGGTAAACTTTAACATCTCTCCAGTCAGGGCTGCGCAGGATTTATGTCTCTTTATTGGTTTTCTCCGCCTAGAAGAACTGTGACCCAAGTACTTATACATATATATATATATATTCGTTTGTATATATATATATATGTATTTATATGCGTGAACAAGGGTCCCGGGTTGTGGATATATACGCGCTCAGGACAAGCAACCAACTACGCAGGTAACTCGGCTTCTAGGGCCTTAACTGCCTGAAATGTACGAGATCTTGTGATGATCATATGTCCAAAGGAGACTGTGAAATGAGGTCTTATTACAAGGTGGGAGAACGCAGCTTAGCCGACGCAGTCAGCTTTAAGGGTACCCCGAAAGACCCCCTAAGCCTTAGACAATCCTAGAATTAATGCCTATCCCACAAAGGCCCTCAACCCTCAACCCTAAACCCTCATCTGGGAACCCCAAACCTCCCAGGGAGTTCAGAAACCAGCGGCTATCTACTCTAGGGTTTAGGGTTTAGGGCAAAGAGTTTCAGGCCACTTGGCAAGCGTAAGCGCATGACGTTTTAGGTAGCTCGACTAACCCTAAGGGTTCAAGTGCTAAATAACCGTATACTTACCCACAACCTATATCATAGTTATTAATACCTAAAGCCCAAGTGCATAATTATTGGGTACTTGGACTCTCTAGGTACCTTCAACAAACAACAGTTATTGGCGCCTGAGTTTGGCGGAGGACTAATTCCTTAAGGGGGCTCCTTTTCTCGAGGAGGGTTTGACCAGAGAAGAAGATGCGACTCAAGAGGAGTTGACTTCTACCCCCGTTTTGGGGGCTTTGGATGTTTTGAACGCGCGAGGAGCGCCGGACATCCGCTTCGAGGTCCCGGACCCGGAAGAGGAGATCGTTGGACCTCCGTCGATCACCCGCGGCATTGGAGCCCCGCTAGTCGCCGACTTTGCTATCGCTACAGACGATGTTTTGGAAGAACATTCGAAGCGGCTACAGTTCGCGGCTTTTGGGAAGTTTTTGGAGGAACATTTTGTGACCCCGGCGATTATTGGAGATGCAATTCGAGCCGCGGCGTACAATCGTTTGGCTGCGTGCCGTTTGAACGTACTAAGGGCTTACTCGTCCTACGTCCAGACTTTTGGAGCTTTGAAGTTAAATAGGTTTTATTAGGGTCTCAAAGGGGGTTATATAGGGAATTCTATAGGGGAGCATTAAAAGGGTTATTAAAGGGGGATACTGGGAGTTTTGACTACAGCTCATATACGCTTTAGGTTTCTGGGTTTAGGGTACTTACAGGTTCATGTTGCTTACCCTCCCCTAAAGAGAAGGGAAACCAGGTACTACAAAGAAAAGAATCTTCTTGTAAGCGTGGTCCGGCGGAGGGTATGTCAGGATGTAAATAAAAAGCAAGGCAGCTATGATCACAACTTGTTGTTATAAGCGTACTTGAGATCGTGCATGAACTTTCAAGTAGGAAATCTTCATGACCTGCTGTCAAGATTGACATAGCATCCCTGGCAAGTATGGTGGCCGAAGCTTTATTCAACTTGATAGTTCTTTCCCAAACAGCTGAGCCCTCAAACATAAACCCGAACGGTCCTCTGAAGACCTTGCTTGGGGTTGAATTTTGAACGTATTTGGGAACCCCTTACTTGGAGGCTCATGTTTTTTTGTAACTATTTACAACTGGGCTGAAACCTCTACCCCAGTTATAAGTAGGATTATAACCCCAGTTAAAAATGTTAGTATAGTTCCCGAAGTCCCATGAACCCTAAACCTTAAACCATACACACTATACATCCCTATAACTCCTCTAAAGGGACCCAGTTATGAGTAGTTGCGAAGTCCCATGAACCTTAAACCTCAAACCCTTAACCCTATACATCCTTATAACCTCTTTAACACGACCCCCTTATAAGTAGTTAGTAAGTCCCATGACCTCCAAGTAAGCTCATTGAACCCACGCAGCAAACACGCCTGCTCTCCAGGGCCTCCCACTCTCTGATGTCCTGGAACCCCAGGCCGTTGGACACAGGGAATGGGTTTGCTGGGTTGCTATTAAGGACAAGAAGAAGAAGTCGCCATAATATGGGTATGTCGTACATAATGCGTTTTCCTTCTTGCAGTAGATTGATTTTGGTTCCCGAACTGCAACCCAGTTTAGGGTTATATGAAGCTTTTAGGCTTTACCGAAGTATGAAGAGTTTACCGGAAATCCTGTTTTACGTGGAAAGCCTAAGCCCTCAATGGGCCTTTGTGGCCCAAGTACGGAGCCCTGTACCCTACACTGAACCCATGGATGTGGCAGTCTCTCTCACTGGCCTTGGTCCAATGGGGGTATCTTTTTGGGACGTCCCTATAATAAAGATCATCGTATTTGGGGCTATATTGGAGTCCCTGTACTTGGGGAAACTACCATATGGAAGTTGCCAACAGGATTTCCTGAGTATTAGATATGGGACTCCCGGTAAATTGGTTGCTGTAAAGATGGCATTTCAAACCCGCGCGCACTACGACAAGAGCACATGAAAGTCTGTCTGGGAGCCCTATAAGAAGGACTAGAACTTATTGGTTGATGAGTATAGGGGCACCCTGGTTTTCATCAATACCAGCCCTTGCAATCTTAGCCCAATCCCTGTTTACCCCGTCATGACTCGTATAATGATTCTGTTGGCCTTTGTATTCATCACCCCCCCCCCCCAACACTGAGTATATCCCAATATGTATGTACGGGCTCTTATAACGAACCTTTAAGGAATTCCGAAAGCCCTTAACCGAATGGCTGGCTGATGATACTGTTGATACTAAAATTCCTGCATGACCTCTGTATACTATAGTACCTTTACTCCCAGGGTTTAGGGTATTTAGGGTCATCCAGGATTTTTAGTATCCACCGTAGTGTTCTGCAACAGATGCTTGAAGGCTGGACTTTCAGAGATCAAGGTTTGAAGTTGCTTATGGTCTTCCGGCATCCCAAAAACCGGAGCCCCAAAGCCTAGTTTAGGGCAGGGTTGAGGGCGTAAGCACTAGGATTTTCGGGTTGGGGCTGCTTATGGTGGAGAAATTGCGTTTATGTGGTTTAGAGGAAACCTCTTGGACTTGGGAAAGCCCTTGCAACTACAATCTTCAGGATGAATGCTACTGTTGATATTGCATCATGGGGTCGCCTACTACCCCCCTCTATACTACCCACCCTATGTTCACCCTTGATAAGCCTGAGTTAAGCCTAATTATCCGTAAGCATAAATGTAATTAAGGGGGGAACCTAGGGCGGTAGTATAGAGGGGGGGTAGTAGGGGAACCCATGATTTCACATCTGGCAAGACTGTAGCATACCAGAATACAATCATGCACAAGGAATGTGGGTGCTTAGGTAGTGTCAACCGTAGTTTACGGTTTCGGGCGTAAATTCTGGGGTTTGTACGCGTCCAAACCTAATAAGTTTTGGAAACCAGCTTGTAGATTACATCTCAGCCGCCAAACATTCTCGACATTCTGCTAGCACCCGTGTGTTTGTGCTTAAGGTTGAGTGCGCTTGCGAACAAGGCTTTCGGATTCTTAAATCAAATTTGATGCATCTTTCTTTGCCTGCGATACACAAGAGTCTCTGCAAGCAGGTGGCTGTTCAAAGCTGCCAGAATGCTTCACCATTCG